CCCCCCCCCCCCCCCCCCCAGAAGGCTGCCTGGCTCCTGAACCAGCATCCCAACGGGACAAGACGGGGGGGGAGGGGGGGGGCCAGACTCACCTTTCTTTGCCTGAGAGTTCACCACGATGGGATTCACGGGATACACCGAGGAGTCCTCGGGGTTGGCTGTGCGGCATCGCCGGGCCGAGTCCTGCAGAGGGGGGATAATGACCCATGGACGTGGGGTGTCTGCTGGACAAGGCCAACCCCCCTCCTGGGTAACAGACTCTGAGCCTCAGAAAGCTGGGATCCCCCCCGGATCAGACCCACGGGCCCATCTACCCCGGTGTCCCGCCCCCCCCCGGATCAGACCCACGGGCCCATCTACCCCGGTGTCCCGCCTCCCCCGGATCAGACCCACAGGCCCATCTACCCCAGTATCCCACCCTCTCCCTGCCCCCCTCAATGAGACCCCCGGGCCCATGAACTCACTGAAGCCCTTCACACAAACCCAGCTCTGCTACCCGACTGCAGTGTCTGGAGGCAGGGAGTCCCGCAGGTTAACGACCCAGCTGCAGCTAGAGCCAGGGTTGATCGGCCCCGGCTCCACCCCTGCCCTCACCGTGGTGTCCAGCGGCTGCTCCCCTTCTCGGCCCCGCTTCTCGTCCTCCCCGATTCGCTGCTCGGTGGCCCTGGCATCCCCGGATCGGCCAATGGTCTTCTCGGCCTCCTTCAAGTCCGTGAGGGTGACGCCCTGGCAAGGGAGCATGTGGGTCAAGGAGGGGCAGGTACTTACAAATCTGGTATGGTGGGAGGGTTGGCACCCTTAGGGGGAGCAGGGTCGCTGGCCAGGGCGGCAGTCACCCCCGCAGGAAGGGAAACGACGTACAGCACCCCCAGGAGGTGTGGTAGCGTCACTGCACCCCCAACAGAGAGGAAGGGACCGGCCCAAAGTCAGTGACAGAGCTGGGAAAAGAACCCAGGAGTCCAGGCTCCCCGCCCCCGCGCAGCTCCACACAACTAGGTCCCCCCTCCCCTCCCAGAGCCAGGCAAAGAACCCAGGAGTCCTGGCTCCCAGCCCCCCCTGCTCTAACCACTGGGTAGAAGTACCTGGGTGGATCGCCGGGACTGCCTCATGAGACGCGACCGGGCTTTGCGCTGTGATTCCGACTCCTCATCCCTCACAGGGGTCTGATACGATCTGGTTGGAGTGGCGGGGGTGTTAGTGAGACCAGCAGGAGCAGAGATCCCTCGCCCGGCGCTGGGACACATGCCCCCTTTGGGGTGGGGGGCGGGAGCTGGGTATACAGGGACCCCTCGCCCAGCGCAGAGATGCGGCCCCTCGGGGGCGGGGCAGCAATTTCACAGCTCACAGTAACATCGGTTATCGAGCCTGGTTTCTCCCAACCCCCATCGGGGCCCCCCCCCCTCCCCCATAGCCGCACTCTGCACCCACAGCCAAGGCTGGGGGGCTGTAAGTGGGGTGCTACAGGAGAGGTTTCCCCCTGCAGACACGGTGCTAGTACCCCCTGAAGGTAGAGCTCCATCACCCCCACAGCCCTCCGGCCCCGGGCTGCCCCCTACCTTCGGCGGTCGCGGGGGTCTGTGCTGGAAGTGGGCAGCTGGTTGGGGGCAGAACCCACGTCGATTTTCATCTGCAGGCCGTCTTCCAAGCTCCTATAGCGTGGGCACAAGAAGAGGGAGCGTCAGACAGGGTGCGCTGAGCTACCAGACACATCGCCACCCCGGTAAACCCCACTCCCCACCCCGAGCGTCCTGGCTCACAGCCCCCACCCCCCAACCACGAGCCCGCACTCCCCTCCCAGAGCCGGGGAGAGAACCCAGGAGTCCTGGCTCCCTGGCTCCATCCTGCTCTAACCACTAGACCCCACTCCCCCCACACACACACAGAGCCAGGGAGAGAACCCAGGAGTCCTGGCTCCCAGCGCCCCCCTGCTCTAACCACTAA